AATGAAAATTAAACTAATTTTATTTTCATCAATCTTACAATGATGCATAATTATCATCTATAATAATAAAGTCATGAGTCTATTAATCGGTGCTGCTCTTTCAGGTGGATTTCCATATAAATTGTGAGTTTCTGAGTCGATACGTTGCACTGAGGAGCTTTTTACCAGCGCGGTGAGGTGGTGGCAGGACGGAGTTCAGCCTGCGTTCTGTTTGCATCAGCTTTAGCTCATCCCCTCATTCATGCATTCTCTGCTTCCATCTCTGACTCAGTTGGTTTCCTGATAGAATCGATGGGACCTTCCTCTCCCCGGCTTTTATCTCTCTGCTATAAAACACAATGTGCTGCAGCCTGTGAGTTTCCTTTTTCAGTAACATTTCCTTTTTTTTTTTCTTTCTGTTTTTGTTTTCGTTCGACTTCGCCCTGCTTCACAAAGTTGGTAAGTGCAAAGCTGGAGAAGAAGAGAAGTGGCAGCTTGTGGCCTCCCTCTTCTTTCCTCACCTCCCTTCCTCCCTCCTTCCTCCTCCTCCTCTTCCTCCCTCCTCTCAGATAATCTTGTCTCAGCATCACTCTGCTCGTAGCTAATCAAACCCTCCTAATTTCCCGGGTTACCTTTGTGTCTCGTGCTTGCCTCAGTGTTGACATCCCTCCTCCAGCGCCTCCCTCCAGACCCGGGCCCTCTCGCCCCCCATCTGTCTCCCGCTAACCTCCTTTCGTGCCATCCTTCCCTCAACACGCATCTTGTCCAATCCCCGTCCTCCCGGCCCACAGTTCTCCGTCCAAACTCCATCTCCTAACACTAAGTGGCGCGGGCCTCAGATGGGCCGAGGCCCGAGCGGCGCCAGCTGAAAAGGTTCAGCAGCAGGGCAGGCGAGCGCTGCCAAGGACCTCTGGCAGGCCTCGGTCTCGGCGGTGAAACCGGGAAGGGCAGCGGTGAGGAGGAGGCGGAGGAGGAGGAGGAGGCGGGATGAAAGTGGAAATGTCTTGCGAGGGGGGATATCGCGGCGTCTCGGGGTCCCAGAGGACGAACCGAGTGTCACGACTCCAGGAGCTGCACAAACACAGAGAACAGCAGAAACAAAACCGAGTAACTCAAACAACTCACAACAGCTTTTTTTTGTCTTTTTTTAAAGACCTGGCTGTAAAAACGGCAAAACAAGGATGAATAATAGATGAATAGTGAAACACGAGACGAGGGTGAACGCCAGACGGGGTCACATGAAGCATTTAACAGAGGATGAAAGGAAAAGAAAAAAAAACACGATTATTATCGACAGCACAGATTTATTTATCAGTGTTTTTAGTGAATCGAGTCTGAGTTGAGATTTAAGCTGCCGAATATCAAAATATGGGTGAAGAGCAGAAGCTCTGATAGATTTTTCAGCTTCCAGAGTAAATTTTCATTTTCACATTTGCTTGGAGATAAATAATTTGCTTTTGATCTTTACAACGTGTTTTATTATCAATATTTTACGCCGGGTTGAGTCATCATTTACGCAATAGAATATCACAAATGTTGGAAAACGTCCAGAGCAAAAGCCTCGACGGATATTCAGAAAATAAATAAACCCACAAACTTTTATTTTATTTATTTTTCATATTTGCTCGGGGTTAAAGGATTTACTTATTGGTTCACTCCAGATTTTATTTTTTTAAATCATAAGTGAGTCATCAAATAAGATATAGGATAAAATAATAATAATAATATATTTAAGAAGCTTTTTCATATTTGCCATAAACATAATTTATGTGTATGTTTTAGTAAGTTTTTTACAAACATTCAAACCTGCAGAACTTTATTGAAAACAAGGAAACCATTTATTCTGGGAGAAATGTTTGAAATTATGTCTAGAATAATTTGCATTTTAATGATATAAACTTAAACAAAGGGAAGAAAATAAATGTTGACTGGTTTTAATCATTTTATTTTGAAAAGATTATTAATTCTGCTTTTATTTTTATTGATTTTATAGGTCTGAGTTACTCCAACAAAGACTAAAGCACACATCTTTATCCCTTTTGGTCTTAATTGTCGTAAAGAAGGTAGATATTTATTTATTTTAAACAAAAACGGCGGTTTAACAGCCCCGAAAGACTTTTATCTGATGCAACCACACAGGAAATCAAACCTCCAGCTTTGTAAAACATACTTTGGGAGCTTCGTGGTTCACGGACTCGTTCCTCGACGCTGAAGCTGTTCTCCAAACCTAGACGCCGTAAAACCTTTCCGGATGATCGACACGCAGGTTTCACTCGACTCGCTGACGCGCGTTTAGCTCCGAAAACGAAGCTCGGCGCCGCACTTGTCACCGAACTCGTTGGATGGGACGCGTTGGAGATCACAGATTTATTTAGGTTTTTTTCACCCCCGAATCTGTCAAAGAGCAACAAAGGCTTTTGTTGTCATCCGTACGTACAGTGTGTCAAATCCTTTCAGCGCTCAAGAAATTGAGTTCAAACTGCTCCTCGCTGTCGACACGGCTTTTGTTGTTCAGACTGGAAGGTTGCTGATTGGCACTCCCCATTCTGCACCACTTCCACACTATAATACAGTATTCAGGACTCGGCTCTGATGTATTCTCTTTGAATGCCGTTTCCTCTCTCTTCTGCTTTACCTCAGCCTCTTTCTTCGCCGCTTTCATCATCTGCATGGCCTCTCCTGCAATCGTCTCCCGGCCGCGTGGAATAAAACCGCCTTCTGGCCTCGCGAGTCGGAATCGGCGCGCTCGTCGACACAGATCCGAATCGGAAGACAAATTTAATTCGCGCTATCTTTATGAGATCTGATTTCACGCTCCGCAGGTTCGCGCGCGTCGCAGTAATCGCGGCGAGTCCAATTTCCAGCAGAATACGAGGCCGCGTGTCGCATCCGACCGCGTGTTTGGAGACACGAGGCGTGAGATGTGCTTGGAGCCGCTTTAAGGCCAACCGCCGAGGCGAGGGCCGCCGGAGTCACCTTGGACCGCCGCGATGGCGCCGCAATCAATGCTGTTTATTCACAATTGTGCAAAAAAAGAGAAAAGAGTACAAAAGATGATCATGCCGAGGACAGGAGGGTTGAATTGAGCGTCCCTGAGCGTAAACACACCAACGAGTGTCAGAGGTGATGAGCGTCCCTGACTCCAGCAAAGTTTAGCGATCAATGAAGCGCCCGACGTTTGTTCCAGTCAAGACTCGAGAACACGACGTGGGCGTCTGAGGAGAACGTGGTCGGTGAGAGCTGGAAGTTTGAGCCTGAGCAGAGCCGTAGATTTGACTCAAGTCTTCCACGCATGTGTGCTCATAAATGTTCCACCGTGTCGGAGGAGGTTCTACCGTGGACACGTTTAATCTTCTCGTGTCTGGAGGCTGAGCAGCGGAACATGAAGACCGTCCTCGGTTCGGTTCTTTAGGGCAAGTACAATCATTCTTTGACTCTAATCTGCTGCATCGCCGACACATTTGAGATTCTTTTTGTTCCAGATAAGTTCTGGGAAAGATCTGCAAAGTTCTGTTGATGTTGTGCGGGAGGTTTTCTTTCAGTTCCCAGAATGTTCCCCTTAAAGGCAGGATAACCGAGCACTGTTAGACTGTTATGTGTGACGTTCTCAAGCCTTGTTAAACTGAGAGTTCTTCTTTTGTTACCGTGGAACGTTGTGGGAACGTTTTATAATTTCCACAATGTGTTCCCTCAACAAAATCCTCAGAACATTGTCGTAAAAATGTTCCACCTTTTGTTAAAATACCACATTACAGAAATGTTTTGTGAAGAACGTTCTGTCGTCTGAGGTCTCACTCACATCTTGAGAATGTTCCCTGAATGTTGCATTGAGAACATCCCACCTGTGTTCTCATCATTTTATAGAACGTTCCCTGAAACAAAAAGCCAAAATGTTCCATCATCTGAGGACTCGATAACATTTAGAAAATGTTTTCCAGGTGTTGTATTGAGAATGTTCCTTCTGGTCTCCTTCAGAAGAACGTTCTGTAATGCTTCATTACAGGAATGTTTTATGGAAATTATTGGAAATTATCTGATTTAGCGATTTAATTGATTTTATTTCCAATTAAACTTCCATGAGGAACCGACTGTCAGTACATGGTGGTGGCCAGCAGGGGGTGCTCACACAGTCCCAGTGGGAAATCAATCACATAATGATATGAAATAATAATGGATAGTGATTAAAAACATATAAACAAGGCACATAACGGCAGGTGGAATCCTTAAACCCGCTGCACCGCTGGGATTCTTGTGTATGTTTTTGCATCTCCGCTCGGTTCCGTCCTCATTTTTCCGCTCAGCGTTGTGAAGCAGAATCTCGAGAGGCGTCTTGTTGAAATTGTTGAATTCTTACCGTGTGAAAGACGAGCGGGAAAGAGATCCGACTCACCGCTCAGAAGTCGTCACGGCGAAGCAAATCCAGCCAACCAGGATGTGGATAAGGAAGCGTCGGGACGGCCTCGGGGCGCTGAAGAGTCGGAGCTTAAGATCAGAAAGTTCCTGTAAGAACCGGCGGCAGCAGACGGAGTCCCACATCAGTACTTTATAACATTAGGAACAATATTGGCAGCAGCGCGAGGAGCTCCGCCGGCGAGGCTCGGGATGCTTTTATTTTAATTGGCGAGCGTCTGGGGTGAAGGAAGAGGAAGCATCCAGACGACCCGTTAAACACAACAGAAGAAGAAGAAGTGTTCTCCGACGGCGGCTCTCTTTGAAACCGCATGAAAAGAACCCAACATCTGTAGTGGTTCTGTCTCCCCTCGCCTTCTGGGTTTGTTAGGGTTACCACGATCCACGAGTTCCCGTCGCTTCGCAGTTATCAGGCAGCAATTAGACACAAACCGCGAGTACAAACTGTAATCTGCATGTTCATGTCCAGACACCCCGCTTTGTTCCAAAAACAATCTGAGAAAGTTCTGCCAAGTTCTACTGATGTTTTTGGTTTTCTTTTGGTTGCCAGAATGTTATTAAAGGTAGGACAGCCACACATGTTCTAACAGATACTTGGTGATAACACTGTTAGACAGTTTTGTTCTCCAGACATGTTGCACTGAGGATGTTCTTACTTTATCATGTGACACTGTGGAACATGTTGAGGACACACTTTATAGAATCTATGAAACATTCCCGCCAACGTCCCCCAAAACCTCCTCAGAACATTTCAGGCAAAGTGTTCCCCCTGTTTTAATACGTCGCACTACAGGAACATCTAATGAAGAACGTTCTGTCGTCTGAGGCCTCGATAACACCTTGAAAACGTCATCTGCACTGAGAACATCCTTCCTTTTTCTTTTT